CCCACACACACACACACACACACACACACACACACACACACACACACATACATTACCAACAATCATGTTCTGCTGTCACCGTTGTTGATAACCCGAGAGTTGTCTGTTCAGTTTTGCAGCAGATTGTCTCTCCGTTCTCGCATTCGCTCTTTTTATTTTGTCCCGCCCTCCATTTCTTGTCTCCATTTCTCCATCGTGCCATTTGATCCACTCCAAAGATTTTCCCTCCTCCTCCTCAACTGTCACCATGCTCAGTGACATTTTCACTGACTTCGTTGTTACAATAATAGCAGTCAAAATATGTAGAAAGAGTCTGTCGGGTCAATCAGGATTGTTTGCAGCCTCTCAACATCCAAAAGAAAGACAATGACTGACTGCCTCTTAGAAGTGGAATTTGCCAGCTTTTAATGTGATTAAATTAATGTTGCTATTATATTAAATCCTAACTATTATCATATTTGGGAATTGCACCAGTTTTATAAAGCTTAATGAAATCTTGAAAGAGAAAATCCTTCTATAGGGTGGTGCATTAAGGACATATTCTTTAGGCTGATGCTAACTTCCTGCTACTTGGAGAGGATCCCAGTTCACCTCCTGCCCTGCCGTGATGCCCTTGAGCAAGGCACCGGACCCACAAGTGACAGGGGGAAGAAACCTTGGGGAAACCGACAGGGCAATAGATGTCATATTAACAGACAATCTTACAGAAGCCGACAAAAAATATCCATAATAATTCCTTTAAAGTCAGCAGTATAAAAGTTTGAATCTCCTGTAGGATTAATATCCGCTCTGTGTGAATCTTAAGTGTGGCAGAGCTTGATTCTAGCTGTAAATGTGAGAGCTGTGAAGCCCACCTGACTGAGCTCTGGCTGCAGCACAGCTTCTCTGCAGGCTAATTGAAGTCAACCACAGGGCACTGCTAATGATCAGCCTACTGCGACCCGTGATGGTCTGTCTCTCTCTGTCTGCTGCGCTGTGTGGTATTTACACAGCGCCTGAGAGAAAATGAGGGGAGGTAGAAAAAAAAATAAAAATAAAGAGGTAGGGGAAAGGAGGTGGGGAGGAGTGGTGGGGGTGTTAGACAAATGACCCAGGTGATGAAATGACCGCCATGCTGTGCAGGAAGTAGCCACGTCCGGCTCTGCTCACTTCCGCTCAGTGGTCATTATGCCCCCCCGCCTAGAGCTCCCCGCGGCTCCAAATTCACTTACAGAGAATCGATACGAGCAGGTGGAGCAAAAGGTGGGAGGACAGGAACTGTGGATGAGGTGAGAGGGGAGGGGGAGGAGAGGGAAGGGGGTTTATAGTGAGGGGAGGAGTGTGAAGGGGAAGGAGGCGAGAGGAGGAAACAGAGTGGAAGGAAATAGGAGAGAAATGAAAGGATAGAAGAAGAGTGGAAAGGTTAGAAAATGAACAATTGACCAGAGGATAGAAACCAGAGAAAGAGATTCAAAAGTGGAAAAAGGGAGGGTAATTAAATGATAGGAGAGATGAAGGAAAGAAAAGGGAGTACAATTAAATGGCAGTGAAGGAACAAAGAGTAGCAAATCAAAGGACAGAAAACAAAACAAAGAAAAGAGGAGGAATAGTTAAACATAGTAAAAAGAGGCAATGGAACATTAAGAAGAAGAGATATGAGCTCATGGAGGAAGAGAAGCAGAGTATGGAATCCAATGGTTATAAAATCCAGGTAATAGGGTAAACATCTATTTTCCATATTATTTATATAATTATAACATTTAAAAAATCAAATGAAGTTGTATTTATAGAGCCCACTATCTCAAACACATGTTCTCATCGGACTTTACACTTTGTAAAGATCTCAAAATGAATGACAGTATAAAAAAAGGAATCAAATCAACACAGAAATAATAATATGATGTTCAAAGTAAGCTTGAGCCAGCGCTAATTATAAGCTTTATAAAAAGAAAAGCCTTAAGCCTAAACAAGCTTTAGGCAAAGAGACACTGAGGAATTGGTTTGTTCGCCAGTCAATGGTTTGGTCCAGTCGCTGTGTTGTTTTACTTCTCCAGCCCACCTTCATGACCCCTCATATTCTGAGCCTGTCATGTTTGCCCTCGTGGCATTTTGGTTTACGAGTCCCAGGAGACAGCGGTCAGGGGGGAGATATCACGTAAAAACCAGCATCAAAGCTCTGCAAGGCGGACATAATACTGTGTTAAAGCAACAATCCATCCTTTTAAATGTTTAGGTCGCACAATCAAATGTCAAACCCCAAAACACAGTTGAATCTTTGAATCAGAGCACCATTGTTAAAGAATCACCACACTACATGCTTCAATATGAACATTGACAAAAAGACTTATACAAATTATGTTTTTTCATAAGGCTGCTGTCAGATTTTTCTTTTATAACAAAATTAAATATTTTGCGTGCTATTTTTCTATTGTATTTGTATTTTTGTATTGAGCTTATAAAATGTCAATCCCAGTTTCTCAAAGTCCAAGGTTATGTCTCTAAATGTTATTTTTTGTCTGTCCAAAAACTGTCGCTATTTCAGAGGCAAAACATTTCATTTTCTGACATTTCTGCATGGAAATGATTTATCGATTATCAAATTTGTCTGCCATTATGGTTCCATCCATCAACTAAATGTCTGTATTGCATAATTTTAAAACCCAATACAGGGCCCTTCTGCATCATCACCACATTAAGAGCTCTGTCATATGAAGTACAGAATTAATTTTCATCTTCACGAACCAACGTCTAATGAGTTGATTAGCTTTCCATACAGGAAAATTATTCATGTTGGATATGATGGAATATGATAAAAAAAAAGTGATTTCTCTCTCCCTTGTATAAGAATTACATTTCGATAACTGGCCTTGACAACCTAATTGAACATTATTTTTATATAGAACATTACCAGAAGAAAATTGAAAGCCTGCTGTCCCTGAACACTCAGTCAGCTTCATTGTGAAGACTACTGCCTTCTGCCAGTTATTTTTCTCTTCGGCTCTGAGTAAAAGGACCTTCATCCCAAAGTGAAGAGCATCATTTAGCCTGCTCTAATGACATAGAACTATCCAGCAGGCTGCCCATAATTGTTAGAGCCGGGATGGGAGAATAATAGTCTAAAACTCTCACCCTCCGAGCTTTTTCTTCCGCTCGAGTCTGAGTGCATGCATTGACCTAAGTCCTCCAGAGAGACTGAGATAACTAGATCCAGTAAGTTATGCGAACTATGGGGAGCCCATTATTTCTTAATATGCTTTTTATAATGTGAGAATTAGAAGCTGGCTGGACGTGGAGCTCATTTCTAATGTGTCATTCTCTGTGTGGGGGTTCATGGGTGGTTTAACCAGGCAGCATGTCCTTATGTGGCGATCTCCAATGTTCCTCAGCTAATACCTGTAACTCAGTGGCTCAAACTGGACGTTAATGAGTACTGAGAAGGGCACTCTTTGCCAAGAGAGAGAAGGAGAGAGACAGAAAGGCAGTGGAGGTCTAATGAACTCATAGCTTGCCGTACGCTGTCACTCTCCTGCTCAGCGCTGTGACCTGAACAATACAGCCGCATTGTTGCCGCGGCATTGTGTTCTAACCCTATGGTTCTAACCCAGGCAGCCAGCAATAGATAGAGAATCAATGGCTCCTGTAACTTACACTTTGTGGCGGCGCGGGGCCAGCGAAGGCAGCTGTCATTCTGAGTATTGTTGCCTCTGACAGCAGCTTCTGATGAGGGCATTGTGGAGAGAAAAACTCAGAGACACGACAACGTGGAAGCTGTTCAAGTTCAACACCCGATGATAGGGATTTTAACATTTGAAGCTGCGGCAGCTAAAAGAACAGTTCAGTTAGGGACTGTACACAAATTATTTGAGGAAGGGAGGAGCAGAACATTTTCTTTTGGGGGGTAGTTTGGGGTTTCTATATGGTGGCCTTTAACCAATAAGTCCTGAGCCTGTTTTTCAGGTCTCAGGCTCGAAAATGACATTCCCAGAACAAATGACCATATGTTCCCTTCTAAAAGGGGTACATTAATAATCTTTTTTCTCAAAGCAATGATAAACCTGTGAGTTGGATGTAGAAAAGTCAGAATCAATATAGAATTTGAAGTTCAGATTGAACATAGTAAAACATTTTTAAATTATAGTGTCCGTCCAAAA